TAACTCAGTGCAGAGCATGGCTTTTGTCTTAATCTGTGAATACTGGTTGAAAGAGTTTGGAAAAATATGCGCCCGCAGCCAAGCCATGGGCCCACAGCAGTTTCCTCTGGTCACATGACTAACTGCCTCAGAAGATCGCTGATGTTAAATGACTCAGCAAAAACTTGCAGGCCAAATGACAGGAAATTAGATCTTCAAAAGCAGACTCCATTGACACTGATGGAAAACACATGTGCCTGGAGCCCCAGCACTGGAGCTGAGAGGTTTTCTGAGCACACACTAAGGGTCTGCAGCCTATCACAGTGCCCAGGAAGGGCTGTGACCCACAGGCACCCTTGGCATCTGTCCCCAGTGAGGACAAAGGGTCCTACAGAGACTTGTGCAGGTAAACAGAACGGTGCCTCCCTGGGCCAAGAATTTCAATTGCCAAGATTTTCCCAGATAATCAAAACTTGCCCTCCAGGCACCAAAATTTTTAAAAGTAAAATCTTATTTTGGTGTAACAGTTTCCAAAAGGAATCATGCAGTTGCACAACACTCTACCTTGTTAAACTGTCCACGTGCTTTCTGATCTCTTCTTGATAGAGCCAAGCTAATGGCATGTATATTACTTGCTGTTTTCTTGCAGGATTGCCCATCCCAGTACTGCAGAGGCAAGCCACTCTATTTCAATATTAAGGACAACAATAATAAGAGCTAATTCTCAGGAGCACTTTCTATATGCCCAGTACTGTATACCCAGAAGCACTCTGTGTACATCATTTTTGCTTCACAATATTCCTGAGAGGTAGGTATTGTTTTCCCAGTTTCCACGTGAAAAAACTGAGGGTTAGAGAGATTAAGTGACTTGCCTGAGCAAGTTAAGTAATGGAGATTAAACCCTAACCTAGGTCCTTGGGCTCCAGGGCCCATGTCTTCAGCCCTACACTCTGTTCCCTCTCTAGGTACAAGTTCACCTAAGACACAGTGACAGCTGGTCCTGGTTTTAGCACTATGAGACCCCTCAGTCCAGAAAGACAGGGACAATTGGTCACCCTAGTTAGACCGCTAGAGGACACTGTGCCAGAACCCTCGACTTTTACGGCCCCCTGGCCCTCTGCCATTATCTGTTCCTGGCTGTCAAGGATGGCGAAGTAGCCCACTAGATGAGCAGTTCAAACCACCAAGTCCAGACCTTGCTCTGCAGGGCCCACAGGGACACCAGGACTCCCTGTACACTTGATAATACAACTTCCCTTTAAGTCACTTTGTTCAACTTCAGTGGGAGCCAGAATCTTCTATAAATAATCAAGTTCTTTATATTTAAAATAAGAGAATGACTATATGGACTTGTTATGGACAATTTTCTAAGCTATATATATATAGTGAAGCATGTCAGAAAGTTTATCTTTCTAACCATAAAAGCTAAAAGAAACCATTCATTCTCAGGAACTGTGACACCGTACATTATTCAATTTTACATGTCAGCTGACCAATATGAGACTCTAGTCTTGGGTGTGGGTGCAGGTCTTTAGCTACAGCTGGACACCAATACTTGCATGAAGGTATTGCAGAAAGAAGTGCTTTGAAGAGATACCAGGGGTGGTTTTTGCAACAAAGAATTGCTTACTTTCATAGAATCCATTGTAAGCAGAATCCTGAGTTAATTTCCATCACATGTTTGTTCCAGTGGGGTTTTAGTGCTTCTTCAAAACTAGTATCCCAGGCACTGACCGGGTGCTCCTACAGCTCCTTCCTTAATTTGCCTGCACTTTCTGACCTGAGAAAAGGTTTTGGGCTTTGTGATCTGCCTTTTGCTCAAAGAGCTTTTCTGCAAATGAGTGGTGTGGGGAGACTAAGGTTAATGGCAGTCTGTTCCCCTCCAAGGGTGGGGCTGTTTTATTTGGAGGATGTTGTTTCCGCGTGACATTAAATACCCCTCTGAGAGTTCAAGATTAACTTCCAAACAAAACAAACTGAGTACCTTTCTGCCTTGCTTCTTGTATCTGCACAAGCCTGGACATTTTCTTGGCAGGAAGACTTGACATTTTAGGGCATGCAAAGCGGCAGAGGGAAGCTGACCGGCCTAATGGTGAAGTCAGTGCTGCTTTCTCTCCTGGCCACTCTCAGTTTATCTTGGACTCCTGGCGCAGCAGCCTAGAGGGCTGAGTGGAGAGCCGTTCCCTCAGGGCTGCTCTTGAGCCCGCATATCCCACAACCTCCCCTGAGGGGTTACCCAGATCCAAGCAAGGCAGTGGGTGTTTGCTGGGGCAGTGGAATTACTCCTGAGTGAGCTAAATGACTCCTTTAGGAATAAAAGATCAGAAAATGCAAGGCTACCAGAAAAGGTAGCTAATTTGTTTTCCCTAATTAAACAAACAAATAAAAAATATTCTATGGACAATTATAAAGGCATTTTCAAAGGACACTGGAGCACACATTTCTGTTCATTTATTTTTCATTTGCTTCTCCAACTATTTAGAGGATGTATTCATAAAATAAAGTGATCAGGCTATTTTTCTCCAGAAAACCAGAGATGGTGTAGATTTGTGAAAGAAAACCTTCTTTCACAAGTCCACAGCATCTTCATGAGGGGAAGTGCGGGCACCGTGATCTACTTTGGCTTTCTCTCATAGGATACTCACCTTTGGAAATCAGCCATCCCGTTGAAAGGGAGCCCAGGACATATGAGAAGCCAATCCGATTAGAAAGGCTTCCTGTCAGCAGGCAGCAGCAATTTACCAGCCAGACTATCTCAAAAGGGGGGTCTTTCTGCCCCAGTCAGCCTTCATAGAGTCACAGCTCCAGCAAACATGCAACTACAACCTCATGAGAGACCTTCAAACCAGGACTGCTCTCAAATTCCTGACTCAGAGGAGAGGTAATAAATGATTATTGTTGTTTTAAGCCATGAAGTTTCGAACTAACTTATTAGGAAGCACTGGGTAAAGAATACACAGGGCATGTTGCCCTTGGGTTTGTCCCTTCATGATTAGAGTGCAGCTGCTACAGCTTCTGATATCACATCATTTCAGGTAAACAAATATTTTCAAAATTCCATTAATCTTATAATAGGCATCAAGCTACTACAGTCTTCCAAATCCAAATCTGGATATGAGATTATATTAATAAAAGTACAGAATGGGTCGATTTTTAAATACTGTTTTCAAGCTAGAATATTTTAATCTACATATCTACACTACTATAAGCTTATCAAGAAAACCCCATTTGTAGCAACTGTTAATTTAAAAGCCACTGATTTCATTAATAAAAACCTATTTCTAGCATTAAATATATCAACTAGCAAAGCCTGTGCTACTGATCATAGATAAAGATCATGGAATCTCTTTTGGGAGCTGCTTCCGGAGTATTAGCTACCTAATTAGAATGCTAGCTCTCTACCCTACGGTGTGAGTTTCCACTGAGGGCAAAAGACTGTACCTAGTGTGTCATGTCACTTGGGACAAATAAATGAGATGGCTGATAGGTGCCCCTTGTGAAAGCCCTCTGGATAGGAGTGTCCTATTCTCCAAGGGGCATCTATCAGCCAACGTTTATCTTCCGTATAGATACATGGGTATTTACCAAAGAAAATAAAGGCTAATAAAGCTGAGCCAAGGCCAAAGGGAGTGACTCAGGAGGGAGCCTGTGTCCCAACCTCACTGTTACTGACTCAGTGGTCATGGATGTGCTCCTTCGCCTTGCCTGACCCCTGTGCTTCCTCACCCATGAAACACAACGTCATAAAGATCCCACCCAGCTGATAGGACGTCCTGGCTGCTTGGAACTGTTGCTTCTAGATAAACCTTGCATCGCTGCCTTCTTTGTTTCTCCCATATTTCCCTCCTCTTTTCCTCTCCTCCCTGAATCCTTCCCTCCTCTCTCTTTCATTCTTCCTTTCCACATAAGGGTACCTGCTGTGACCTCACTATCTAGTAAAGAATGTATCAATAATAATTACCACAACTTCTATTATTTTAATGGAACAAACACTAGAGTGAATTGCCAATGTCGGCTGAGCTTTGCTTTGTGCAGGTGCCATGCTACATGCTTTGCATGCATCAACTCATTTCATTTAGTCCAAGCAGCATCCCTGAGTGGGAGGAAATGTTGATATCCCAGGCTGAAGTTCAAAGAAACCAAAGGATGTACCTCAAATCCCACAGCTCTTACCTGATAAAGCCTCCTGAATAAAGGCACCCTCGAAAAATGGAAGAGACTTCCCTTGATTGAGAACAATTAAATGCATAATAAGATTAACTTGAGACTACAAAAATAATAAAAAAACAAAAAAACAAAAAAACAAGAAAGCAAACCATGTCACTACCATATAATCACATCACAATAAAGGAAATTACCCATGGCCTCATCAGGCTACGTGTTAACAGACAATGCAGTGCTTTCCTTTTTTGCCACACACACACACACACATCCCGACTTCATGGTTTCAGGTCTTGCTTCATTTCCTCCCTCATGCTGAGTGATGCCATCTACGTTTATTGACGGAGCACAGGAGTTCTTTTAGGCTTCTTCCTACTTCTCCAATTTTCTAGTTTACACATTTGTAAATCACGTGATAATGTTATGGGCACGTGCTTAAGTGTACTTTACTTATGAAGTGTTCAAGAAGAGATTGAGGAAAACCTCTTCACTTTCTAGGAACAGTGATAGCTACTGAAAAATCTTATGTGATCGGTCCTTCATTTAAGTTCTGACTTTGACTTACACCTGGTCACATATTTTGGAGTCAGGCAGGGTGGAAATGAATGCTTTGATGTTTTTCTGCTCATCCTCTCCTCTCCTTGCTACCCTCACTCCAGTACTGGGGATTGAACTCAGGGCCTCTGCACTGAGTTACATCCTCAGCATTTTTATTTGGGGACAGGAGCTTACCAAGTCACTAAATTTCCCAGAATAATCTCAAATTTATAATCCTCTTGCCTTAGCTTTTCAGAGTGCTTGGATTATGGGTGTGTACCGTTATGCCCAGTTCTACCCTCCTCTTTAAGAAAAGAACTCCACTTTTTTGGGGAATCACCTCTCCACAAAGATCAGTCTGAGGACTCAAAGTCTGCCCCTCGAGGTCATGGTCACGATCCATGGTAGGTCATGGTCAAGCATCACCCTTCTAACTTTCACTAATCCTCTTGGGAAAGAAGTGAATATCTCTCATTTTGGGCAACCAAACTAGGGGACAGCTGGCATGGTGACTTGGTTTAGAGGTGCCCATCTTGGTCATCACTTGGGAAAAGCCTAGCTGCAAACAAATGTAACACAATGTTGATATTTTTGCTTAGGTTAGTTAATCTGGCTAACATCCTTTATGGTTTTCCCCCTGCTAAAACATGAGACAACTATTGGAGACAACTATGTGTCCAACTGCTGGACACATGATTGCTGATACTGACTTTATTTAAGAGGTCAGTACTGTCTCTTACCTAAGGTGCTCTACATCCTGACTGGGATACCAAACCCCTCTGACTACTTAAAAATTGCTCTTCTGCCTTAGGGTTAGATTTTTGTTGCCAACACTTCCATCACCAGCTGATCTCACCCTATGGCCAGATGCCTTAGACATTCCACTTGTTCCTGAAGCCTCAGGTTCCTCATGTAGAACATTAGGTGCTAGGCTTCTGCCTGCGTGTCTATGGCCTTACCACCACTGCTCTGCTGGTCATTATGTGCAATGGCACAGCCATCTTTCAGAGCTGACTAGACATTATGATCCTTCAGGAGAACACCTTGATTTGCTCCAGTTCATCTGTAGTCCACTGAAAATCAAGACTGCTGGTGATGTCTCCGGGTCACATTCTTCTTTGTCCAGATCATCTGAGATGTTAACATACCTGCAAGGATCCCTCTCTGGTCTATTTAATATCCTCCAGACTCCCTGGGCCACTAAAAGAAGTACCCTGACCCTATACCACCTTTTCTGCTAGGAACCTGCCAGCCAAAAGAACAAAGGCCATTCAAGTTTTCTACCAATGTTTTATTTGTGGGAAAATTGCAAAATAGCCCCAGTTGCATCAGAGTTTCAAGCAGGTCTCAGCTAAGATAGTTTTATATTTCCAAAGGTTACTTCTAAGTCAGTCTTTGGACTAAGAATGCATTTTCCCATGGAAACAGTGTCATAGACTATGACAAAAGCCTTGGGCCAAGCCACAAGTGCCAATAGTAAATTACACATGGCCTAGGCATGTACAAAGGAGCAAAAAAAATTTCCTTCATCATAACTTGCATTCCCATGGAAAATGACTTCCTAAAGCAACTGAAATGAATTCAGATACTCAATATTTGCAAACAGCATCCCTCTGTCTTCCATGGAGCAAGTGTAACTGTGTTCCAAACTCAGGCACCGGAAACTCAAGAACATGCACCAGGCTATGGCACCAGAGTCCAGGCCCTGCCAATCACCATGGCCACTGCTCTTACACATCCAGAGGAGAGGTGGAAGTGACTTGGCCTCCTCTCCTCCTTCTCCTCCCTCCATGAGGATAAGATGCAGCATTGGGGTCAGAGAAGGCAGAGATGAATAAGCATCTACCCACCCCCTTCTAAAGTCTGAACATAGAGTAACAGGGTCTGGAATCTCCTAAGAGATAGCAGCCCAACCTCAAGAGTCTTTCATCTCAGGGAACCCTATGTCATGACTTCAGAAGTGAGGAATCATCTTTTCTAGATTGAAGGGCTTGCAGTTAGCTAACCTGACTCCAGACTGCTTGTCACTTGGAACAAGTAAATAAGCCCCAGTCATCTCAGTCACAAAATTTAGAATAATACAAATTCTACCGTGTGGAACTGAGGATTAAATGAGTTAGCATTTGGATGGCAAAACTAACATTATACTGTATATGAGAAATAGCAAGCATGTCACAGTAGTAATTAGTTTTCTAAAGAATGTTACTGGGGTTTTATGTACATGAATTACAAAGCCTGTATTTTCTTCCCCAGGTTGGAAAAAAGCTTTTAAGCTTAAGAGATCCAGAGACTCAACAGTGCACTGGCATTGCCTGGCACACAGTACAATGGTCCGTGGGAGGATTTTAACCTCTGCATGAAGTGCTGTGCTAGACCCTGGAAACAGGATTAACTTATTCCCTCTATTTAAGAGTGAGTAACATCACAGCCCCAGTCCTTGAAAACCAAGGAAGAGAGGAATGGAAGGTGCCTTGCAGAGTATCCCCACACATTTCTAGGCCATTTCCTGCAAGCCAACATTGCAACTCCAAGCAAATAAAAAGTTGGGCAATAATTTTCTTAAGTTTCATCTACATAAAGAACATGATGCTGTGGTTATAAAGCCAAAATGGATTGGAGGAAAGAATGCAATAAATTTCTTGTGGCTAAATGTGAAGGAGGATGCAGCATAAGATGGTAGACTGAAGGTTAAGTGGACATCAATAGAGCTGGTTTCCTTGGTACATTCCCGCCCTTTAATAACTGTGTGATCTCAGGCATGATGGCCATACCTCTGGGCCTATCTGCTTAAATCTATAAGTCAAGGGGTGGCCTAAATTTATCCAAAGGTCCCTTCCAGTCTGTGGTTCCAGTTAAGGAGGTAAAAAGGTGTGAGATAAATAATAAAGCAATTCTCACTATGTCTTAAATTCCAGGCAGCTAGGCTAGAAACGAACGAATGAATCACTGGGTGAAAGGCTTAAGTACCCTATTAGCTTTGTTTAAATCCTTTAGATCCTGAACTACCTACTCTCCTCAGGTGACAGGAAGAAACTTGTAATGAGGACATTAGCTGACTAAGGCACGGATTTGAGTGGTGGTGAGGGTTGAATACTCTGGACCATGAACCTATCAGGAGGCTGAATAAGGAAATGGGCCAGATTAGCTCATTGTGCAGAGGCACTACAAAAACCTGAGTTAGCCTGGGTCAAAATGAGGCTGTACCTCCTAGAAGGGCCCCAAATGATTTCATAGAAATCCAGATCTTACTGTTTTTCATCTGTGAGTGAAACCCTGACTACATATTACTTTGCAAGAAGAATCAATGTCAACACAAGAAGACCAGCCTTGAGGACAACAAGACCACCTCATGGGGCTAAAACTGAGGTGCACCTCTCCCAGAGCCGCTGCCCGGTGTTTCATCCTAAAAATAAACCAGCCCAAGGAGGCGAAGGCGTCATTCCTCCAAGGCCAGCTGGGAAGCAAGCATGCTGCCCGCCAATCTTTTCCACTGAGGTTTCAGACATCAGTGTCTGTGGGAAGCCAGCCATGCTGTGCCTTTCAACCCCTTTGAATGCAGAGATGCAGAGAGCACCCATCACTCAATCCAGGTCACAGGCACACCACTCCCACTCCCACCTCTGTTGACAGGGTCTTGGCAAGAGGCCTTTCCATTTCCAAAACATGGAAAGACCCTGAAGTGAGTCATAAATCACGAATCACAGAGCTCTCTTGAGATCCCTTTTGCAGGAAGTAGTGTGAAATGGGATCTCTGCCCCACCCCCACCAAGGGCCAGGAGTATGGTTTCTCAGAAACAGCCTGGTTGACAGCCTTTGTGCATATTCTAAGGTTAAAAAAGCTCTAAAGAGGAAGAGAGAGCCTGTGCTCACCTGGAACACATGTGTTCATATACTGCTGCCTTGCTTAGGAATAAATACTGACCATTCACCCAGCACACACCCTAAGAAAACATGCAAATGTGGAATCCAGACTCGCTGGGAGTTCTCATGCTTTTGTGTCTTTCATCACCCTGTCCCCTCCACATAGAACAGCTACTCTGGCTGGCTAATTTGGCTCACTCTTGGAGAGTCAAAGAGTGCCCGACCCACCTCACGTGGCGTGCACACACCTTGTCCTTGTTACCTGATCAAGCTGGTGTCGGCACTCAGAGCAGCTTCAAGATCTGACACAGTGTATAGCAAAGAAAGAGCTCCACAAAAGACTGTAAACAAATGATTAGTGCCAAATCAATAATTGTATTGGATGTTGTATAGGTAACATCTTCCTTCCTATTTATTCATGGGTGGCAAAAGATCATGAACTGGTTGGTCATGGCATGTGGGAACAACTTGGAGAATGTTCCCAAGTTCACAGACACTTGGAACATCTAGAAAGTGCAACATTTCCTAACTAATGGATTCCCCAACTTGGAGAGAGGCAAGGGATCCTTAAGAAAGAATATTTTATTATCCCCATTTGATTGATTAAGCTACTGAGCCAAAAAGCCTCATAACTTAGCATCACCAGTGTTTAGAATTGCTGCAGTAAGGCCAGGTGCCACTCAGCAAGTTCATACTTATTTGGTTGGCAGGTGGTTACAGGGTGTCAGGCACTTTGCAGGACCCACAAGAAGGTGAACAAAATGGACTTGGTTCCCGTGGCCATAAAATGGATGTGGGAGGAACCGGTAGGAGATGAATAAGTATATAAGGACAGGTTGTAATTAATGCTCTAAAGGAACAGTAAGCAACATCTCAAGAGATGATCTAAGAGGGGCGGGGCATGATTGGCTGCATTTATTAACAACCACTGTGTACTGGGGCAGTGCTGTGCTCAGACTTAACTCACTTCCTCAGGGCCCACAGAAAGAGCAGAGATGGAGTCCTCCCTCTGAAGAGGTCCTAGGGCTTTTGTGTAGCTCCTGCCACTCCGTTTGTCAAAAGGAGAGGTGACACACCTTGCCTACTTGCTTCCCATTTTAAACTGATAGGAATAGATACTACACTTGATCTTAGCCAAAAGGCCGAGAAGTGATGTTGCTTCCCATTTTAATGTGAGAAGCACTTTTAATGTTCAAGCACTTTGTCTTTTCAAACTACTGAGTGAAATTACCATTGAATAATGACTTTCACAAAAATGAGCAGATATTTTCCACGAATTCAGGTTCATATTTAACAAACAATTCATTTCTTCAACTATCTTAACTCTCATTTTTAATATTATGACTTTTCCCCATTCCTTGAAAGGTGAAGCACTGCTAAAAGGTAAACACATGTGGACTGAGAAGCTTGCCTTCCCTGGGAGCACAACACAAGAAGGTCACCTTGCCTCCCTCCGGCACCTTCCCTGAGGTGGGAGGCAGAGCTTCCTTCTCGAAGACCAGCAGAGAGACTTGCTTATGTTTGTGTTTTTCTTGCACCCCAGTCTACTTTGACAGGTATAGGAATCACTGTAGGAATGAAATAGACACCCTAAATCCCCCCAGATGCAGCCCTGCTTAGGTCCAACTGATGCAGGTAAGTCAGGTAAGGAGAAAGGAATTTTCCTATCCCTAGGTGCATGTGACAAATTTGTGGCATAGAATGAGGACCTGGTGGACAGAAGGATCGGTGACCCAGAGCTCGTGGTAGTAAGTCACTGTGCGCACCTGGAGGGCTGCTCCCCAGGGAGCTTTGTGCCAGTGAAGGAGACTTTGATTCATCTAGTTTTTCCCCCAGGTCTGACTTTTCTCCAGCACAGCTCCTTGCCACCTGGGACTGCCAGGGACTCAGCATCGGCCTCTGTTCCCACAGGGGAGGAGAAAGGAGGTGCAGTTGGTGTCCGTGTGGCACAAGGTGTAAGAAGCCGGGGCTTTCTGTAGTCATGAAGCCACACAGGATGGGCCATGTGCAGGCAGCAGGTGTGTGCTCAGCTGGCAAAGAGGAGAGCATGTGGCCATGTGGTTCACAGACTCTTCCCTACACACAGCCCCATTCCAGCTCCATCACCTCCCAGGCAGGTAAGGAGCCTGAGGTTCACAAGACTGGCAGCACTGCACATCATCACATGGCTAAGTGATGGCAGCTCTATCAGCTGAACAAGTTTGTGTTACACTGCTGCCTCCCTGCGACCCAGGACTCCTACTGTAGAGAAGCGAGAAAATGACTACCTGGAGGTGCCCCTTCCATAGCCCTGCTCCACCTTGTCCTCTCTGAATCCTGAGAAACTAGTTCATCCTATATTGTCAATGACTCACAAGATACCCACAGCATATCTGTGATTAGAAAAACTGAGCAAGAGATCTGCAGAAGCATCAGAGGACCTTGTGGGGGTCCTCTGTCCTTTCCCGCCACACAGCAAACTTCCACCCAGAGCAAGGCCATATCTGCTTTCCTCCGTATCTAGGTGTAAGGCATTTGTTTTTCATTTGAAAATGACCTCCTGAGTCCTTCCATGATCCCTTCAGTTGTTATGACTAATATGTTTTAAATCATAAGATAAAATTTATTCAATTTTGGGGCTGGGGATTTAGCTCAGTGACACAGCACCTGCCTGGCAAGCACAATGTCGTGAGTTTGAGTCCTGGTACTGGAAGAAAAACAAAAACAAAAAAAAATTTATTCAATTTTGCACTGAAACAGTCATTATGGTGCCTTGTACATGGAAGATCTTCCAAAACCCAATTGCTGATGGATGAATGAATAAGTGGATGGATGCATAGGCTAACTCCAAACCTCCCAGTAAAGAAATCATTCACTTCTTCAAATTATATTCACTAAGACTCAAGCCTGCAGGAAAGAAGATAAGCACTTGAACTAGGCAGAGAGTCTAACAGTGGAGTTGATCATTAAATAAAGAGTGGCCAAATAACTACTTAAGGTTATTTGGTCAAGGTTAGGTATGGTACTACTTCAGGTTAGTTATGGTACTAAGGTTAATAGCCATAACTGTAGGTTCTGACCATTTAGGTATCTAGCCATTAATCTGTAATCTAATTTTGTAGCCTGGCCATTATATTAACCAAATTCTAATTTTTAAAATTCACTTTAGTATTGTTTAAACACAATCTATGTATTATAAATTTTTTCAATCCAAAAGTTATGCACAAAGGAAAACCAAGGCACATGAACCAAAGCTCTAGAGAATAAGGTTTCAGATCTAACAAAGATATTTCTACCAATCTATCTAAAGATTAATATTTTAAAGTTCCTACCATATTATCACAATTATATAAAAAGTAAGTGCCTAAAAATACTAAAAGGCAATCACAAAAATATAAATAGTAATTTATTATGATTTTTAATTTTTAATGGATAATTATTATTTTGTAATAAAGAGAACTTTTAAACATTCTATTCAAATATGTAATAGATGATGTCATTTTCTTTTTGGAACTATTCATATTGCAAAATCTATAGTAGCTTATGCTAGCGGATGCTCACTGTGCCTCTCTTTTCCCTCTCCACTATATATTCTTGAACCAAGGAGGAGATAAGAAATATTTTTGAATCCCAAGTCATAAGACAAACAGATGGAAGTTCTAAAGTGTTGAACTCAAATTTCCCAATAACCAAAATCAAGACCTTTGGGCTTTCTAAAAAATGTTTATTAGTAACTTGTTAATCCTGCAGACTTCTCAAGAAATATCATTTGTTATCAGCAAATATTTGGATCCAATAAAAGCATTTGTTTTTCATTTGAAACTGACCTCCTGAGTCCTTCTGTGATCCCTTCAGTTGTTATGACTAATACATTTTAAATCATAAGATAAAATTTATTCAATTTTGGGGCTGGGGATTTAGCTCAGTGACACAGCGCCTGCCTGGCAAGCACAGGGTCGTGAGTTTGAGTCCTGGTACTGGAAGAAAAGCAAAAAAAACAATAACAAAACAAAACAAAAAATTATTCAATTTTGCACTGAAACAGTCATTATGGGTCATTTAGTTTGATACCCCTCCCACACCAGGAATCTTTTCTTTTTATTTATTTATTTTTGGGGGGGTACCAGGAATCAGACTTTTGACCTCAGGCTTGCCAGGCAAGCACTTATGCCACCGAGCTATATCCTCAGCCCTTCAGAATCTTTTCTACAGCCTTGGTCAGTAGTCTTCTGGTGTCTACTTAAATACCTTGTATGCTAAGAAGCTCACTGCATCCCACGGAAGACCTGTTTGTTATCAAAAAATGCTTATCTTTAAATTATATCCATCATAGATGAAAGTTTTGTGGTTTACACATGCACTCCCAATCCCCAGCATAGAGAAAGCACATAAAAATATTCGATAAATGTACCCTTCCCTGGACAGGTAGAAGTTTGAATTCATACATTCATTTAGCATGTTTATTGAACATGTGCTATGCGATACTATCTGCAGCAGCTGGGGACACAGCAATGGACGGGAAGGACAAGAGTCCTGGCCCTAGTATTTACATTCTAGCTGAAAGGGACTGTCTACCTGTATTTCCCTTTCTGGCTTATCTTTTAGACACCATCAGTGGGCAGATGGACAGCAGCCAAAATTAGGGCAGGAGGTTGAAGAATACGTAAAGGTTTTTGTGTCTATTCCTAGCAATTACTGGGGAATCCCAGGGAAAGACTGGACTTCCTATCATGCTGAAGTGGTGAGTATTCTAGATCATATTGTTTATACATTAAAGAAACAAAAACTGGTTTATGCCTACGCTTGTGAAACAGGATATCCAACACAGAGAAAAAAAAGGAGATGTATTAGCAGTGTCAACATACACAATTTTGTATGTATTCCTACACTTCTGTGTATATATATGTGCGTGTTTACACACATACTTATATAGATCTATTTATTCCTATTCACACTCACAAAAGAATAGAAAGATAATCATCTAATTTTTAAAATGATTAGGTAGTGAGATTATGGATTTTTGTTTGTCTAAATTAGACACATTTGCCAAACTAAAATATTACTTAAACAAGTAAAATAGTTTTATAAAAATAAAGTGAACTGAATAAAACAGGTCCTGCTCACTGCTTCTGCAGCTTGCGCTTCTGTGCTTTGTTCTTGCTGAGGCCTTCCCCTCCCTCCCTTCTGTTTCCCTGTCTTCCTGGCTAAGTAAATAGAGTCTCAACCCAAGCATCATCTCCACTAGAAAGCTGATGCCCCTGCCCCAGGGGCTCTGACCCCCTTTTTATGCACCTGCTGAACTGAGTGCAGATGTGTATGATAGTGCCTACACCTTTCACTGCTTGCTTGCCTGGCTGCAAGGGCCCATAAACTTGGCTCTGGGCCACTTGGTGCTGGACCCCAGCTTCTAGCATGACACTCCACCATCTTAGGAGGCAGTCAGAAGGTGACAAATGCTTGAGCCTCATGGAGATCATTGTGGAAGCTGCCACTGGTTCCTTCTTTCCAGCTCAGATCACACTGTCCCTCCTTGCACACCCCTGTAGGACTTACTATAGCCAAGTGAAGAAAATGCAAGAACTGGGGATGTAGCTCAGTGGTGGAGTGCTTTCCTGGCATGTGCAAGGCTCTGAATTTGAGGAGAGAGGACGGGGAAAAGGGGGAGAGAGAAGGGAGATTCAACTTACCTCTCCAGCCTCATTCCCCTGTTTTGTATCCCCCCAGGACCATTCATCCAGCCCTACACTGGCCACCTCTCCTACCTTTGTCACTGCTGTGCTTTTAAACTGAAATGCTCTTCTCCACATTCACACATGAAATTTCAAAAAATATTTCCTACTTATCCTACCTCAAAAGCCACCAGAGCCATGATATACTCATCAAAATCTCAGTCAGAGGGAGTGACAATCTTCTCTTGTTCCCAGATTTTTCTTTGAATCTTCTGTTAAGCCTTATCCCACAAGGCCGCTAGGGTGTGTGTCTGTCCCTGCAGTGGTATGAACAGAAACTCCACCGAGACATGGGTCATGCCCTGCCCACTTTTTTATCTTGGCATAGCAGACACTGGCTGAGTCTGTGAGTCACAGGATTTGGAAAAGCAAAAGCCCAGCTTCTCTTCCAAATGAAGATCCCTGGAAAGGGCTATGATTGATTTGAACACAGAAATAAGAAAAAGATCTAGAAACTAGAGTAAGATCATCTAGGTTACCAAACAAAACCATATAAAGTAGAAATTGCTTTTAAAAGTTTAGGTATTAAGTATCTGAAAATTCTTTTTTCTTGTTTTATAAGTGCTGGATTCAAAGTCACCATGTTACTGGAGTCCTGGCTGAAGACCTGCTCTATGGTTTGGGTCAAAAATTTGTCTCCAAAGCTCATGTGTTCACAGGTGGGGATTCCTCATAAATGGATTAACCTCCTTATGAGTTCATAGCTGAATGTGCTTTCAGGAGGTGGAG